AGTCAACTTTTATTCCCTGATGTGTTTGGGTATTTTTTTTTTAAATAATTTAGTTTGTATTGTTTAAAAATTTTCTAATGTTTCTATATTTTCAATTAAATTTTTTCGTAAGTAAAATATCAAAATTGACTAATGATAAGCTTACTTGACATGATACATAGTTTATCTGTAGAAATTTAAAGGAAGAATTAGATCGTCTAAAAGAAGCCAACTCTAAATTTCTATCAACTTCTTAAAATTTTTGAAACAATAATTAGAAGTTTTCATTTATGAGGTAACTTAATTTTTCTTCTATCATATCAAAGAAGCGTAATCATCATCTAACTTTAACATTCACCAACGAGAATGATATAATTAAAATTTCTTAAAATTTAAGAGACTAAATTGAAACTTTTAAAACAATAGAGGACTAAATTGAAAAATCACACAAATATGGACCAAAATAAATATTTAACCCAAGTTTTTTGGTATAATCTTAACAAACAAAAAAAAATCAAATGAAAACTCATTCATCTATCAAAGCTCTACAGGCTGTTTGCTATAATACTCTTTAGGGGTCGTTTGTTTCGTGGGAATTCAAGATTCCCGTGAGACGGACATCTGGATTCCCACGTTTGTTTTGCGGTAATATAAGATACCTGGATATCTGGAGATGCTCGAGTATCCTAAGATGCTTATACGGAAGGCATTCGAGTCAATTTGGATGCCCTTTTAAAACATGAGTTTCCACAATTCCCATGTCGAGGATATCCTATATTGACATTTTTGCTCATTCATTATTTTTCATATATTTTCTTTTATCAAATTTCTTCAGTTTTATTTGTAATTTTATAATTTAAATAAATTAATGTACTACTGACTCATTAAGCAATTAAGTATATTTCATGTACATATAAAATAAATTTCTATTAAATTATATAATATCTCAATTTACGATTATGAATAATATCTATTATGTTAAATACATAAATTTAAAACAACCTTTTTTAACCTATCTTTGATATTCTCTTTTTTAATAATTTGATAATATAATAAATGAATTTCACCAAATATAACATTAATTATATAATTGTATTTTTTAAAAAAAATATTAAAATTGAAAATGAATTTTATACTCAATATTAATTACTTTTAAGAAAGTCTTATATTAATATGAATTCTACTCACATAAAAAAAATTAATACATTTACGCAATTAATATAAAAAACCTAAAATATTAAATGAATTTTAAGAAAATCTATTATATAAATTAAAATTATATTAGATTAACGTATATAAATTATATAAATATTTGTAAGGGCATTTTTGGAACATTACATAAATTTAAAACATTCTCATCAATAAATCATGCAAAACAAACGTGACTATTCATAAATTCTCATACATCCTTTTATATTTTCCAAAGAAACAAACGTGGTCATTTGAAGATGTCGGATATCTATAATTCCGGACATCTTAAATTCCAGACATCTGAAGATACCGGACATCTACATTCCCAAAAAACAAACGACCGCTTGATTCATAGAAAGAAACTATTTTTCAAAACGCTCTCATACAATATGATCCCTAGAGAACTTCCATAGCCCTTTCATAGTTGTCTTCAAGACCTCTCCATACTCACCACTGTGGGGACTACTTGATTCCACCTACTAGGCAAAGGCCAAACTGTTTCAGAAAATTTAGAATATAACTGAAAATTAATATGAAAATTAATATTGATGAGGTTCCATCTCAAAATCAATTGGAGGAATAGTCCATGTCTATTAATAAACACTGGTACATTTTCTTTTCAAGGTGAGATCCTTAACAGATCGATCACTTCTCTAATTCTAACCAGATATAATCTTTTGCATAAATGTTCTTAATTCTCTTTCATGTTTATATATATAGTTAAATATTATTTTGACCATGTACTTTCAGTTTTAGTTTATTTCGGTTCCTATTATTTGTAAAATGTTCATTTTATTTTATATACTTTCAACTTTGGTTCATTTTAGTCTTTGTACATTCAAAGTGTTTGTTTTGGTCCTCATATATACTTTTAAAAAGTGACAATTTTGGTCCATATTTGTAAAATTGTAACACAAAATTCTATACATAATGGAAACCCTTTAATATAAAGTCATTGTTACATTTTAAGAAACGTATTGAATGTATTGTCGTGTTGAAAATGTGATAGAAAATTGGCACTAAAACAAAATTAAATGACAAAAATGGTCACTTTAGTATAGAGACCAAAACAAACATTTTGAAAATGCAAGGACGAAAATGATACGTTAATTTGAATGAGCGAGTTGTAAATGTTAGGGGTAAAATTAAGTGTAAACACGCAATCCACTCCCGACTGAGACACATGTGTGTTAAAATATCTATAAAATATTTAATTTTCCATAATCATGAACTTAAGCTTTTGAGTTCGTTGACAATTTAACAGTAACAGTGTGTTCGAGTCTCAGGTTAGACATGCCAAGATGAAGAAGAAATGCGGCAAAATCTCAATTATGTTGGGAGAGGATCTTCTAACTCTTCTAAATGATAGTTAGCCAACGGTTTTCCAATGCCTCCCTATAAAAGGCAGATACACACTTTCTCAAAGTTCACAATTTCTTTATCCTCAACTAAGTTGGTGATTGTCAAAATGAACATAGCTCAGCGGTAATTGGCATATATCTCTAATCAAGAGATCGTGAATTCGATCAACACCCCTATATGTTGTACTAAAAAAAGGAAAAAAAAAACTAAGTTGGAGATTTGTGACAAAGAAAGGATTGCTAAATTAAGAGATGTTCATATAAAAGACAAGGTATAAGGTCGATATTGCTAATACTCAAGTGATCATGACTTAAGACTAAATTTCCCCATCAACCATCTCTCCAAATACTTCTCCAACACTTTATGGAGCTTCAAAATATATATATGTATAGTTCTTGTTTGAATTTATATTTTTTTTTGAGAAAAAATTAATTTAATTTATTGACATCCAATACATAAAAGTATTAATATTATTTAAGATTAGCCGGGTAAGCTAGTTAATTTGGCTCTCTTTTTCTAGTACAACATGTTGGGGGATTCGAACCCACAACTAATTTGACTCTCTTTTTTGGTCAAATCTAATGTTGATTAGGAAAAAATGAAAATTGAGGTTGAAATTAACTGTTCGAAAAATCAAACCAACTACACACCAAAATGGCTAAAATCAAAGTAAACCGACTAGCTTCTAATCTCTTTCCTCCTCGCATATGCAAATTGATCAAGCTTAAATTTATTTTTATGCAGAATTGGCATACATAATTATTTTCTTGATGATTGAGCTGGCAAGAGAGATTCTCCTCCTTTTTTGGGTTGGTGGAGATCTAGAAAGACCAAACTGAAACCAACCTCATTCAACATTGCACAATTAATGTTATCTTATAGGTTGGATATAGACAAGAATATTATACTAATCTCAAAACCAATTGACAAGGAAGTAGTCAATGTCCATTATAAATCTTTGTAAAATCTTTTTTCTTTCCAATGTGAGATCTTTAACAATGTAATGATCAATAATCTTTGTATTTTACAAACACATCTGAAAATTCTTAGTCTATCGATCTCCATATATTAGAACTCTTAATCTTGACAAAAGTGGATGACTAAATCTTTACCAACTTTAATTAAAGTACCTGAACCAAACTATATTAAAGTTAAAAAAACTAAAAAATTGTTATTCATTTAAAAAGGTTGCAAAACCTAAATCGTTACACACTAAAGTTTAGAGATTAGATCGTTGCACGAAATATATTTTTTTAATCAAAAGAAAAAGGATCAAGATCTGTGAACACATTTGTAAGATAAACACATGGGCAGAATGAAAGGAAAATGGGGAATTACTAATTAGTGACACATTGCACATAATTTTCCCAAACACAGCCTTATAAATGAGACTAAATTTTCATGGGGAGCATCACAGTCGTACAAAATTTGTCTCCTTTCCTTAGCCAACTTTCTTTTTAAAATCAATAATTCAGATTTCAGATCCCATCCTTCAATGCCACCGACTTACTTCCATGTGCTAACACTCTCTTTAGTCAACCAAAATTTAATCTCTCACATTTCTCTAACTTCAATACTTTCTCTCTACCTAGCTCTCCCAACTACTTCTCCCTCCCTCTCTCTCTCTCTCCATATTTTGCTTCATTTCCACACAATTTACTTGCTTTTAAAGGGAAGCGTTTTTCGATGCAACTAAAGTCTCACATCGATCAAAATCAGAAAAGGTAAATGCATATTTTCTTTAGCAAATATATATCGAGATGGAGGAATGAACCTTTGACTTTAAGGATCTTTATAAATTTATTGTCTATTGTTCGAATTGACAACAGTTAAGAGTGTAAACAAAGTTCCACGTTAGCTAGAGAATGAAAAGAAATGAGAACGATCATTTTCATTGGTCTGAGACCTTTTGAGTGAAATCAAAAAATATAGATTTATTTACATTCATTATTTTTAATTTTCTTTTAAGGTTTTAAATGTTACTTTTTTTTTATAACATATGGGATGGGGGATCGAACTCACACCCTTTGATCGGCAAATGTTACTTTTTAAATGGGGAGAATTTAGTACTAATTAATTATGTGAAGATCACACATTTGAAAAAAAATTTTATTTTTTAGCAAAAAGGAATTAAAATACCAAAAAGGGGTCTCAATATCACCCCACAACTTTTCCTTCCAATCTTATTCCAAGTAAAAATTGCCTTTCTTTTAAAACCCTAATCTACAAATCTAAGAATCCAATTGATGAGTAGTAGAAGTCCTAACAAAGTAGGGAACATTTTCATCACTTGAAATAGTACTATAATCAGCCGCCACCGCCACGGCGGGCCGGTTGTACAATGAAGAGGAGGAAGAAGCTGAACCGTCATAATGAGGCGGTGGAGGCAACAGTGGAGGTGGTGGTGGCACGGCGATCGAAACGACCTCAGCCGAAGACGAAAGAAAAGGCACATGTTGAGGAGAAGAGTGAATGATATTAGCTTCTCTATATTTGTATCTTAAAATCTCAGCTCTAACTGCATTGAGTTCAACTTGTAATGCTTGGATTTGGTGTTGTAGAGCTGAAATGGCGCCCATGCAGCCATACACAGGATCTCTCAGCCTCACATTCGCTTCATAGACAAGGCTATTTGCAGCATCTGCTCTTTGATTCTCTGCAACTTCCTGCAAAAAGCTTTCATTACATTAGGGGTCCAAAAGAAATCGATGAAGATCGTCTCGTATCGTTTTAATTTATTTTTGTTAAATTACAAATTTGGTCTCTAAACTTTTAAGACGGTGTCTATGCAACTTTCTAATTATATGTCAATCTAGTCCCTATATTTTAAAAAGTTTTTAATAGGTTCTTCCACTTTTAATTTTAATTTTGTATCTAATAGGTCACTATTGTTAATTCGTGTAATACTCACGTGGCAACGAAATAGAGTTAACAGTATTTATTTTATTATTTTTTTAAGGAATAAAACATTTACAATATAGGCCGTGCGAAAGTTCCCTACATGACCTCTTAAGTAGATAACAAAATTGAAAGTTATAGCCACTAAGGTATACTCATGTTGGCAACGACATAGATTTAAGTAGATAACAAAATTGAAAGTTTAGAGACCCAGTAGAATCGTTTTAAAGTATAAAGACTAAATAGACACAGGTACAAATGACTGAGAATAGACAAGATATAAAGTTCAAGACTAAACTTATGATTTAACCTTTCCGTTACCATGAGCATCTTGGAGACGTTGCTGGCACCGAAGACCTTGTGCACGGAGGCAAACTTGTGAGGTTCGTGGGGGGAGAAGTATGGGGAGAAGGGGCATTCTTGGACACACCTTCTTCTCAAAAGCTTGCAGGCCGCGCATGGCGTAATGGTGTTGAGAGTCCCAGGAGGAGACTGTAGCGTCGTCTGTCTTCTTCCCATAATTTGGTGTGGAAGATTATTTGATGACGATGATACATCTGTCTCTCTCTTTATCTTCTTCGCTATCTCGTCGAATCTCTCTCTACAAACCATCACAAGGAAACGATGACTCGTTTTCTAAAAAAAAAATGAAAGAGAACGAAGAAAGTTGATCATGATAGTTTGATCAAATTATCCCTTTTAATTTCTCTCTCATACAATTAACCGTATAAACTTATGAATATAAGCCTAGTTCAACGATTAGATCGAAGGCATAAAATTATAATTATATATTTTTTTTGAAAAAAATCAATCACCTTATTCTAGCCTCCCTGTTTGATCAACCCATCAAACTCAAAAGCCGAAGCTTATGAGTTACCATAAATTTGATCTTTTATAGATACCTTTAACATTCTCCCTCACTAATGGGCTTAGAAATTTACACAAAACCCAACAAATCTTCGAACACATAAGACCTCTAATACTATGTTAAATCGCCGTCAACCCAAAAAACTTAAAGTTGATAGGGTATGCAGTAAATTTCTAACCTCCCAACTCACTAGTAACTTTCTCATTCCTTTGGAGATTAAAGGTTCGAATCCTCCCACCCATTAAGAAAACAAAACACGCGAATCATATCGTTCCCACCCCCGAAACAATTTCCCGACGACAGAGAAAGAGATAAGTTTCTCCTCACCTTTCTTTGGACATTCAAGCATGCTCCGATCTTCAGCTCAACCCAAGCACCACAAGGTAGAGAGTCAAAGAAAGAGAAACTAAAGGAGTGAAGTTAAGAAAAGAAGATCAAAGGGAGCTATGTCTGTACGAGGATTATTCCATGGAAGAAGAAGATCTAGAAATTAAAGAGAGAGAGGAGAAGAAGAAGAAGAAGAAGAAGAAGAAGAAGAAGAAGAAGAAGAAGAAGAAGAAGAAGAAATCATAAATAAATATAAATGGGATCAATGGGTCCTCACGTGTGAGAGTTTTGACTTTGGGAGTTTGCTTGTTTTTCCCATATCGCCATGGGTTTGAAGCAGCAGCTAGCTCAAGCTTTTTACAGAATGGTCTCGAAGGAAGAGAAGGGAGAAAAAGAAATGGAGATCATGTTAGTTTGTTGTCAAAATCAAGAACCACCCATATTTCTCTATGTGTAATGTATAATATAAATAAATAAATGGGATTTTGGGCATCACCGTAGGGAAGCCGCAATGGGGATTGGGGAGACGAGACACACAGATTTTATAGAGAGACCAACAGTCTATTTCTGTCTAACTCTACACAATAAAAACTTCCTTCTAAGCACAGTTTTGAGTTTTTTTGGGTGAAAATTAAACTTCAAATTTTTTTTTTTTCTGTTTCTTTTTCTTTTGGTAATTTAAATATTATTTTGGTCTCTTATTTTCTGGTTTGGTTTGGTTGGGTGGATATGCTTTTAAAACAATTTTGGTCCATCTACTCTCAACTTTTGTTTGTTTTTTAAACTTTCAAAATATTTCGGTTCAATGTTTACGAAATTTTAATCTAAACTTTATATTCAATGGAAACTTTTTAATACAATTTTTATGGTTATATTTTAAAATTTTTGTGTGAAGTGACAGTTAAAATTATGGCAGAGGAAATGAGATAAAAAAATGAGAACGAATGAAGTAAAATCCCATTGGAATTTTTCTTATTTTTCTTCTTTGCTTTTAGGTTAAATTGGTATTTGAACTTTAATAGACTTTAGATTCATGGCGCCAAAGTTTGAGTTTTATTTAATCTAGGTTATAAAAACTTGGGATTTTAGTAAGAATAATAACAGGTCAACATTAATCTCTTTTTTGACCCGTAGTAGAGAATTAATAATAATGTAAATAACATAATAATAATAACATAAATAAAAATGGTTAATTTTTTAGTAGTGACAAATTTGGAAAATTCTGTCCAATCCGCAAGGAGGGAAGTATTTTTTCTTATCATAACTTGTTTATGACTGTAAAAGTTGGTAGGTAAATATTTTAAAAAGTTAATTTATCTATGAATAAAAAATTAAATATGTCGTAGTTCTTTGCATTTAGTAGTTGTTTAACTTAATTAGTATCGAAAGTTCTATGTTCGAACTCCTCAACAACGTTGATTTTTATGGGTTAGGGGATTAATATAGGGTGTGTTTCTTCATCTCTCCTTCTCGCCTATCTCTGGCCAACCTTTGTCACCATCGTCGCCGATCGCTCTTATCCTTGCCCATTGCTTGCCACCCGTCATCATCCTCATGACCAGAATCATTCCAATTGCCCTCGTTAGAAAAGGGGATCGGAGGAGCCTCCCTCCCTTCCTGGAGGCTCCTTCCTCTTTCGATATGGAAAATCATGTTTAAGATATGATTAAAAAGCATGTATTAAGCATAAAACTAGATGTCAAAATGAGCATAGTTCAGCGGTAATTAGTATATACCTCCAACCATGAGGTTGAAAGTCCGAATCTCCTCCCCAATATGTTGTACTAAAAAAACATAAAACTAGATTTCTTCACCTTATAGGTTAACATGTAGAAGCCTAATCTATGTGTCAAAACACTCTAAGGAGGCAATTATTTTTTCTTTATTGTTTTGAAATATTTCATTCGAATTCTTATACTTTCAAATATTTTATTTAATAATTCTTGAATGCTAAAATATTTTTTTCTTAGTACTTGCCATTTAGTTTTCATTTTGCATTGGATCTTAAAATATATTTCTAAATAAAATAGTGTGACTTAAAATACAAATTTGTATAATATTTTTAAAATGGTGATGGAGTCAAAGCGAACTTAGCAATAATTAACATATATCTCCAACCAAGAGGTTGTGAGTTCAATCTCGCACCATATCCCACATGTTGTACTAAAAAAATGGTGATAGGATGACGTGTAAAAATAATTTTTATTTTTCTTTTTTGTGTGTCGGGACATTAGTTTTCATGGGGTTTACCCATTTTCATCCAACTCATTGAGAGACTTTCTTTACAAAATTACTCAAATATGTCAGTGATGTTCACAAAGAAAAAGACCACATACCCTTTTAAGATAAAAATTATAATTATAATTATAATTATCTTCTTCAGATAGTGACTTAATACTTTTAATTTTTGTTAATGATAATATTCTTCTTTTTTATAGTCTATTCTCAATCTCCATAACTAAGTGATTCTCTCAAATTTAAGTAATCTTATTAAATCTTATCTCTATATATTAAATTCAATATCATCATATGATCATACATATCACTTATTATACAGTGGCTAGCTAGATTAAAGAAATCACATATTTAAATTCTAGGTTTTACTTTGTTTTATTAAATTGGTCCGTTTTTGTATAAAACATTTTTTCTGACATTTAAAGAAGATCTCGGTCAACTTGAACGTAGCTTAACTAATCAAAGTATGATAGTCTAGTAAGGATGTTCATTTTCCCCCCGAGATACAGAGACCCACCTAAATTAAATGGGGCTCCGTGAGGCAAGGATGAGAAAAGTCTTTTCCCCGTCACCTAAACGGGGATATTCCCCGTCCCGTTTCCCGCCTCGCCTCATTTTATAGGTATATATACACTAAAAAAAATCTTATCATCTTCTCTATATATACGTATACTAAAAAAATCATATTCTCCTCTACCGACCCAATATATAGAGGATTGGACTACATAAATAAATTTTATCGTTGAAAATTAAGTAATTAATTAAAATTTACTTTAAAAAAATATTTAATTAAAAAATAATTTTAAAAATAAAAAATAAATGAGAAAAAAAATCTCCACGAAAACCAGATCCCCACAAAATTTCGTGAAAATTTTCGTGGGGATGGAAAATGAAATAGGAGCGCGTCCGCTCCATAAACATCCCTATAGTCTAGCCTAAAAGTTAAAGATTTGAATTCCACTTCGTTTAAATTATAATATTAAAAAAATAAATAAATAAGGACTCAAGAAGTATGTATAATATATTAATTGCACAAGTAACTTTTGATCTCATACTCTAAAATAAAATAAAACAGAAACTTTTATCTCGTTAAAAATAAGGGTAAATTTTTCATTTTTATCCTTTGTAAACAATTTTTGCTTAAAATTGCTCTCTCAAAAAAATAATAATAATAACATTTGCTTTTTCTCATATTCTTATATAAGGGCTATATTTTTATTTGACTTCTACTATATTCTATCACCTATATAATATTATTAGTTCATAAATGATGGACATATATTAATTAGAATAATAACTGATCGACACGTGTTACATTTTTTATGTCAAATTTTCTCATTAATTATTTAAATTAATGTTTTCAATAAAGTTTAAACTTTATTATGCATGCTATGTAATAATAACACACTAGCTATGGGAAGACACCTTAGGGACAAGCCTAGCTTATACATATGACAATTTAATATTTTAGGGTTTGGTATTGGATGTGTAATAGAATTGGAAAGGTGTTGATATCAAAGTTGGTGGTGAAAAGGAGGGAATTGAAATCACAAATATTAATGGATCTCAAAGAGTAGAATTGAAGGGTATAAAAACATTAAACAATATGATTTTAATTAGATTAGAAAGCATACTCTTAAATATATATGCTTAGATTGCAAGTAAAAAAAAATAGAAGAATCCATTATGGTTTGACCCCTCTTTTAAGCCTTATAATCCGCCCCGATGTTCTCTCATCCCCAACCCAATCACCTCTCTCTCCCTTGCTCTATTGAGTTGATTTTATATATTTCTCTCTCATAAACTTCACAAATTTAAACCATTAATAGAGCGGTTAATCTTCCTAATAGACGTATTAAATCCATTCAAACTGTTTAGTATAGTTCAATTAATAAAGACATATATACTAAAAGATATTAGAGATTCAAATATCCACGCAAGCATTATTGAAGTTAAAAAAACCCCTAATTTTATACTTAAATTTTAATCTCACAAACCAAGTTATAATGTAGACATAAGTTTTATATATATATATCTATATATATGTATATAATTTCTCCAAAAAGAACAAACATAAATTATATAAAATTGGTTTTTGAGGGATAGAATAGGGCCAATTGAAAAAAAAAAGTTAAAATGTTAAATTTTATCTATATTTAAAATGTTAACGTTGACACCTAGTGTCCAGGTTCGAGTCACACTTCCGTTGTGTTGGATAATTGGCGGTAATTGCAGATACCCTTGATTTATAGGGCGACTCACAAAGGGGTTGAGCCACACTGTGAACAATTTTCGAGTTATCAGAAAAGAAAAATGTTAAATTTTATCTATCTTTACGAAAATTTCTAACTTCGCTCTTACCAATCCCAAGATTTAAACATCCCTAAAATGCATAAATTGAACTTTGAAGGGTGTTGATGCATAAATCTAGTCTATCGGTTGACCAAATATCACACCAAAGAGACTCGACGACGTTAACCTACAAAATAGAGAAGACTAAACACTGGTGTTGTAAAGCCACACACACTTTGATGCTTAAGTTAGAGACCAAGGTTGAAGAATGTTGTAGTTTAGAGTATAGTTTTTAGGTACGTTGAGTCTCTCTTCTATTTATAGGAATCATAATTTCTAGGAAACCTAGCTACTTGGACTTTGGATGTAGCATCGTCGTAGGTCGGATGTACGGAAAAAAGACAATCCACCAGTTAGTTAACCTCACTGACTAGGCATAGGGTCGTCCTTCGAGACGTTGGACTGCTGGTCAGCGGCCGAGGTCTTGTTGGCTTCGGCCGATGTTGGGTGATCTTGGGTTGGCTGGACCCCGTTCCACCACTCGTTCGTCAGGCTTTTAGGTTGGGACTTCCGTTATTTTTTCTTCTAATTTTGGTCCATTTGGAATTTCTTTTTTGTCTTTAAATGGGTATGTATCTTGTTTGTCGGGTTGAGCTTTATTTCTTCCCTTACAATTTGTTTTTAGGGGAATTTCGTTTAATTACAGTTTTTTTCGTGTAGAAAATGTATTTGGAAGAATAATTTTTAAACAAGAAGGAAAAAACAAGACTTTTAACTGTTTTTGCTTTCTCAACTAATTGTCATTAATAACTGTTAAATTATGTTTAAATGGATTAAGTAAAATAAAATACAATAATAGAGTATAGGTTAAACTACCAATTATTGTTAAGTCATTACCACAATTCACTTTTT